AGCCCTCCCTCACCACATGATACAATCAAAATCAGTCAACATAAAAACAAAACATGAATGCATGAAAACATCAATACAATTCAATATATAAAAAAAAAAAACATTTGTACATTTTGATTAAACTATACATGGAGCGCACATGAGATGCACGGCGAGAACCCCCCCCCCCCCCCCCCCCCCCACAGTAGTCAGATTGTCGTGTTTTTTTAAAGCATGTTAGAGAAATGTTTACATTGTTTCTTGAAATTGTGATTTGCAATTCTGGACGGACAATGGCAATTTCCGGTGAATAAAAAGGATCAATTTTTTGTATTCTGTTTTAGGAAATGGTATTTGTCGAAGGTTTTGGGTGCATGGTATATATGGCGAGCATTATATACGATAGGTCGCATAACAGACAATGGTCATCATATTACAATTAAAGTCACCAAAAACAATAGTGACAGAATTTGTGACAGAAAATACATCATTAATATTTTGTTATAGTATATTAAAGAAAATTGAAGAGTTGCATCACTGGATGGATCTATATCTACAAAATAGGACTGCTTTGGTGCCTTTTTACTTCTAAACACATCAGTTCAATCTTGTGACATTCAGTCCAAATCCGTTCTTCTTAAAGATGAAGTTGAGTTCTGGTCATGCGATTGCATTGTGAAAAAGACGGTGTGAAATCGACCAGAAAAGGTTGATCATCTAGCATATAAGAATTTGAGTGTATTGCTTCTATTGTATTGTTCTGGAATCATCAAAATGATAAGAAATTTGGCCAAGTCTTGGTAAAGTTACAAACACTGTACACAGAAAGATGTATATTGGACTACACGAACACGTGGCGTAAAAAACCTACCCCCGAGTTTTACGAGTTACATGACATATTTAGAATATAAAGGCATTTGAAGAGCCATGCTTTTCAGGGAACATGTCCTATCTGATGTTCTTCCAATCTTGCATAATAAGAATGATAACGCTCACAAATTATTTTTCACCTCTTCCCAGAACTCAACCTTCTCTTTAAGTAAGATATATTTCCTTTATGTGGCAAGCCACTCCTCCTCCAACTAACCGGCCTCTATGTTTAACCACACTTATCCAGGCACATAATTGATTTGATTCATACAATGTCATCGTTTAACTATGTTTCGGACTAACTGAACAAATCGTATGTTTTATTTTGTCAAAAAATACTGAACATCGTTTACCTAAGTTAAGCTTCTGATATTAACATGGGTAATTTCCATCCCTTTTCAATATGGAAATTTACCATTTCTTGTTTCTCCTACCCTTTACCTATATTTTGACCATATTTATCACAATTATTGTTTCCTGCATAATTATGTAGATGACTCATCATTTTAATTTTGGATCGGCGTGCGCTCTGCAACTAAAAACGTTATAAAAACAACGAGACCTTACTTCGCGCACGGGGCTTTACAGCTGATTTATCAAAAACGCAATTAATAAAATAAAAAAATAATAATATCGTAATTTGCAAGGCAATATATCATACAACCAGTTTGGGAGCACTTTTTACTCACAATTTTGAGGATATCTGCTCTCAAAATGTAGATTTCCAGACCCTTATCGGTAAGTTGATAATTTTTCGGAACGGACACAAAATAATGACTGCAAAATTTACCGATCTTTTCTCAATTTCGCACCCAATTCCAAAGAAAATTTCATCTCTGGTTAATTTATGTTCCTCTTTCCACTATAGGCCTATATATTAGATTTTCGAAATCTTACCGATTTTTGAGATAGCGAATTACTGAGGGCACACGCGAACTATGGTCACACGTCCATACCGGCCTGTAAGGATTTTTATCAAGGGGGTGTTTAGAAATTGGATGGCATCGTTAATGTGACCCCGCGAGGTAGCGAAGCAACCGAACAGGAAAGTGGTCGGAGGGGGTAATTCCATCCAACGTCGTGAATTTCGATATCCTTGCTTTAAAAAACCTGTGGTTTTCCTGCATTTCAAGTTTTCAAGTTTGTTTGTTGTTGCTCTCTCCACATTTTACAGTATAGAGACAGACATATGAAATAGAAATCATATAGCTATGGTAATGGTATATAATCAAGTTACAAAGAAACTCAATTCACATGTCCGATTAAGTACGGGAGCCTATTCACATACAAGCTATGCTTTTTATTTAGGCTCCCCACATTTTACATTGTTCTACCTTGCCCGTTATATCTACATATTTTGAAATTTCGTACTTATTTTCCGTACATTATATTTGATTTGAAATCTTTAATTGTTTTTCTTCTTGTGTGAAATCTACTCTTATAAAATATACGCCTGTATAAAAATAAGAAATTGAAAGAATATAAACTGTTTTTCTGTAAAATGTGGAATAAATAAAACTTCAAGTAAAATGTGAGGAACCTATATTAAAAAATGGTGCTTGTGGATTATAGGTTCCTAATAAAAATAGACATTGTAGATTATAGGCGTAGGAAGCTTTCTTGAAGTTGGGGAAGGAGCGTTGACTCGGAAGCTCTCACCCTGAAATCACATCACCAGCGCGATGTGTGAAGTCCCTTTATGCTGGGGTCCAGGGGCCTTGGAAGCTCTGGGATCCTAGATTCTCTCCGGTGCAATATAAGCCTAATTTTAGTGCATTTTATGACATTTTTTCAGAGCAATTTACAACCAATTTATGAATTTAAAAATACCAAATGGAAATTGTAGACATTATATGGGGAGTATAGCCATGTGAGATTATATAGTTTTTGTTCTTCGAGATTTAACAGTTTCCTCTTACCGTGGACAAGTGCCTTGCGGAGCAACTTCCAAAGTAGGGGGGCACCAACAAAAAGGGTACTTTACGGAAAAAGGGCACCTACAAAGGGAAACCTCAAAGCACAAATATACAATTATTGCCATATTGTACCCCTACATTGTGATTAGATTATTAGGGATGATTTCATCGTTTGTTTCTCTCTTTAAATTGCCCAAGATACTGCTTAATCATCATACTTTGCAGTTGAGTGTGATGGTATGAACATGACTTTTTATTCGTGGAATTCTGTCACACTTAATGTGAACCCATTCCCCATACTTTGAACATACCGAAGAGCTTTTTGATTTCGTTTCACTGGCTTACTACAACAAACACATGGATACTTGATGCCCATATCGAAACATGCAAATCAACATTGATTAAATAAAGAACAATATTACACCATTAAGATAAATGATGAACATCTATCATTATCATTGTTATTACTATCATTACTTTTTTTTTAATCGTTTTTTGTTGTTGATGTCATTATTATCATTATTATTAATAATCCTATTATTATTCGCAATTTAGGTTTATTCCACCTTTTAATTGGAACATGAACTATGCTCTACGAACGTCAAAATAAACATGTCCAAGATAGATATGATTTACATATTCTTCCTTCTCCATCCGTCTCTTTCGTCCGGAGATATCTGTTCGTTCCTATTTTCACCACTTCCCACTCAATATATTGCCTCATAAAAGTCTAAGTGAATGAAACAAGGCAACACTTACAATACTGTTCACAGACTAGGTTTTCCGTTATAATATTAACATGAATAATGCTCTACAAAATAAGACTTATTTCTAAGCGCGAATGGTTTATTATTTTAAGTCGAAGAGATTTTTCAACCGGGCACAAACCTTTCAGATTTAATAACGAATATCATGAGGCTCAATATTTCAGTATCGCATACTCTCTTAAGTTCTAAATCCTTCTTCAGACTTAAACTGTTTTAAGTATTTAAAGCTTCATTTAATCGAATATACGGTTAAAAGTTTTAATGAAAGTAACTTTTGCAAATAAATCATTTTGGACTTAAAAACTTCTCATACAATCTGATTGATGTCACTTGCGCGCTCACAGCCAAAAGTAAATCGTATCGGACCATCCATTAGACTTTTTGCCGCTCTTTGCACTCTCTATAGATGGAAATAAAATAATAAGCCAAAAGAATTGGGAATAGGCCCACTCTTTTTCTTCTTAAACCACGAATATCTTTCGTCCACTGATGTTCGTTCTTATTTTCCCCTCCCGACACCTAAAGTATTCCGACCCCCTGTTCAGATCATCATGTTCCCAAACAAGATTTCCCCTTTTCCCGTCCTTCGGGAAAAAAAAACACGTAAGAATGGTCCAAATTCCTAATACTAGCTCAATATACCCCAAAGAAAATATGAAAGTTTGCCCCGTATAACAAATACATATAAATAAAATTTGTCTGTGGCTCATCATTCCAACGAGTACGAGTCATGAACGAAAGAGAATTGTATAGAGACATATTTATGTGCCGTGTCAAATACCTGAGCGTTTTTATGTTGAATTAAGTGACCTTCATATCATTATAATTGATAGTATCATTATTTCGTTAAACGAGGTACTTTAATAAAAGTCAAAATATATATAGGCCTATGATCATATAATATAATCAAAAATTATATAATAATTCTACCTTTATTCAACGGTTTACAAATCATTTCAACTTAATTGACAAATGCAGGAGACCACCATCTTAAATTTACTGCTGATTTATTCATGCAACGAGAGATAATGGCAGTGATTGCAAGTCAGAATCTTATTGAATTCAGACAAGAATACAGTTTGCATGCATGTGAAGAGATCAGGGAGTTGGGCTCCCTGGTAGTAGGCCAAACACCAGTAAGTGGCTAAAACCATGGACTTCCACCCAATGTGTTTTCCACTGCATCGGGGCAGTGCGTGTAGAGTTTCAGCATGGTCCAAGGTTTCAGGCAGGGCTGACCTAATCCTAATACAAACAAAGCTCGACGATGTTACTAATGCATATTCATTGGGGCATAAGCGAAGGCACTACGTCAGCATACATTAGCGCGAACTTTTGACCCCCGACACTGGCAGATTCGTCTGGACGTTCGTGTGGACGGAAATTTGGGGATTGCGCGATCAGTGGAGAGACCGCGATGTGTGTGGGGGATAAAAAGAACGAACGGACTGAATCTGGACTAGTGAAAATCAAGCTCCAGTAGTACGGAGATCTAGCTAGCGAACGAGCCCGATCAACCATGGGGGAAAGTTGTGGGATGTTCGAAAGAGGTTTCACTCGCCAAGTGGACCTCGATGAGATGACATAGAGAGGCTATTACTCATCGATCACAAGGTACGTTACTGCTGAAATAATTAGCCGAATCTAAGCAAGAATTTGGCGAATGGGGAAAGAATATCTTTCAGAGGCATAACTTGAGCAGACAGATACTTTATTTGCTCCTAGAGGTAAGACCTGGCAATTAATTGTTGTATCATTCTGCCCTATCACTAACATTAAACAGGGAGCTGTTTTAACTCACCTGCATTAACATGACTGTCTACCTTCTCGGGCCCCGCGGAACGTTTTTCAAAGTGTGTGTGTGTGTGTTTTGTTTTTATTTACGTTCAGGTGGAGCGAAGCGTAAATTGTCGTGGGGTCCAGGAGGCGAAGCCCCCAGAAGCTCAGGGGTTTAAGGCATTCAATTACCCCTGTCAATGATCATGTCTGACTTTTTCACATTTCGTCCTTGCAGTAAATCCCTTAATTACGCCTAGTTAGCAGGCACAAACCCTGGTCAATCGTAAAAGAGAGTCTGCACTATACAACTACCATAGGCCATGCACTAAAGATGTTGACACAACCAGTAGGTATCTGGGCTAGGCTTCTCTCAAGGCACAATGATTTTTGATAAAGTGTCAAGTTAGGGTCTGTGCTTGCAGACTACTTTACGCCCACGCCTTCTTAAAGATAAAGTTGAGTTCTGGTCATGCGATTGCATTGTGAAAGAAAATGTGCGGAATGGATCAGAAAAAGTTGATCATATAATGTAGCATGTAAGTATTGGTGTGTAGACTTTAGATCTACTGGAAGATTCTGAAGTCATCAACAATCATAATAAATTTGTCCCAGTCTTGTAAGTCACAGCACTTTATACACAGAAATATGTATATAGGACTACATGTTGTCAGGCCTACTTACCTTGATTTCTGTATCTTTATATGCTCTTTACTCAGTCAGTTTACATTTTCTACCAAAATTGTTTCGCAAGTGACATTTATTTGTAATCTTGAACATTCAGTGTAAGACTGTAAGTTCCGTTTGATTCTGTGAGAATTCATATTATTATTTTTTTAACCAGAACTCAAGTTTATTAGATTAATTTATATTCTACTCTCAAAGCTAAAGACCAGTTATGGTCATGCAATTGCATAGTGAATGAAACGTTGTGAAATCGATCAGAACAGGTTGATCATCTAGCACAGATGTACTGCAAGGTCCTGGAATCATCACAATTATAAGAAATTTGGCCAAGTCTTCATGCATAAAGTTAGAAGCACTGTACACAGAAAGATGTATATGGGACTACACAGTATATACAACAGTATATCGATATACTAATTTACCAAATATATCAATTAGGCGGTTTCCCGTCAAAATTTGTATCGTCATGTAATATTCAAAACATATTCTTTCACATGATTGGTAACAAGAGCTTCCATTTCATTTTTTGAAATTGGGGCGTTTCCAATACTGGTCTTTACCTTTAACACCCAGTCAGTTTAGTAAAGCATATCGGCCTCCACCCAGATAAGGGCATTTACCCCCATCTACCATGTCTTTGACTTGCTGTGCACACGGCCTGCCTGTACCTACCATATTCCTTTGATATGCGCCATATGCCTTCCATTATAAATTTTCCGTTTCCAGGATCGCCATTTCGGAACATCAGGGCTCGGAGAGCTCGAGCCCTCCCCCCCCCCCCCCAGTCCCCTTTCCCCACTTTTTGACAAATGTATGTTTAAGAGAAATAAAAAGAAAGACGCTGTATCTTTAATGGTTAAATGGAGAACAACTGATGGTGCTGAAGGGGATTTGCACATTCATGTACCTTTCCAGAGTCAGAGAGTGCGTAGTAAGAGAGAAGAGACAACTAACAATTAGTAAGTTTGTAGAATCACCCACTGAGAAAAGCATAGGCATATCATTGAACTTGGAAGGAGTCACTCAAAATATCTCACAAATTAACCCAGTTAAAAAGGCCAAATTCTTAATCCAAGAAAGAGGATAAATCGGTAAGGTAAAAAGGAGAAGAAAACTTCTAAAGATAGTGGGTAAATTAAGATGCAAAACAAGTGGCAAAACAGGACATACGGTAAACTTTACCCTATAAGACCCACACGAACACAGAAACAAAAATCATAAATAAGAGTAATAAGAGTAAAGTTGTCGCCGTTAAAATAACAAAAAATACAATCAATGGTGAAAGGATAATCTTCCAATCAGTATTATTGAAATTTAAAAGAAAAGGAACTTGGAAGCGACATTAAAAATCAAATGAAATAATTTCCAATGGAATGCTCAATCCATAAATGCTTATGGCTTTAAATTTTAAAACAACATGATTACAAAAACACGCTTGTGACGAAGACAATTAGCCAGCTGGCCTTTGCCCACAGAAAACCTGGTGTGATGATTACAACAACATTACATTTCCAGACTATATATCGGTAACTAGAAACAGACAAGAGAGCTAGGCGACAAGGTTGAGCATTCTTATCAAAGACATTTACGTTTCAAGTTTGGAAAACACCAGAAGATACACAATCGCACCTTCTGACTTAACTGTGTTCATAACCCTTACAGGAAAATACTAGCATCTAATTTAGATGTAGTGTTTTACATTCCCAAAATCTGTTAATAATACAAATTTCCCTATGTATTAGTGTTGACATACATGTATAAAGAGGCAAACGGTGGACTGCCAAACTGCACCTTGATGTTTCGCTAGGACACGAGTATCTCTTTTTTCCTACCAAAAATGACAGGTGTTGTCAGAGAAAACCCCTTGTAAAAAGTAATTGCACAGGCGTCGTTGAGAGAGAGAGAGAGAGAGAGAGAGCGAATGGCTGAGAGGTTGAGATCACGTCAACTCAAAAGTTTGATTAATATTTTATCCTACCATTTTCATTTAGGTCATTGTCTTATTGTAAGTGAGCAATCGGATTTTCTGAATAGTATATATTATCCCCGCATGATGGTATACACCATTAGCGAATGAAAAATATTATGATTTTTGACCTTTCTACTAGGCAAAATAAGTCTTCCTCTCTCTTATTGAACCAATGATAATGCATTTGTTTTCCAAACAGTTTAGGTTTGTGTTATTTAACCTATTTCGGATTTCGACATAGATCTACTTGTACATTGAATCGACTTCATAAGCTCTACTGTAGAAAATATATTATTTCCTTATAAGCTCCCAAGGTTTTGGTCATTATCAATAATCTGTTTTGTATGCAATATCCCGCATCCGCTTGAACAATACAGGGTGAGTCAGAAAAAATGTCCCACTTTTTAAAAGTTGTATTGTTCGAAGTATGAATATTTAATTATGGTTTTCATGATTATGTCTTGAAAGAGTTATCCTCCCAGTACATTTAGGTACCATTTTCAGTTAAATCCCTTCATGCATGACTGAACATCAGACAATCTTTACAAGACTGCCATATTTCACTTGCGCCAACTTACTGGACGAGGAATAAAACAGTTTATATACCTCACTTAAGAAATCCAGCCATCTGATTGGTCGAAATTGCATTCATAAACTTTAACTATTCCTGTAAAATTCCCGGTAAAATTCCAAACCCATGTAATAGTTCTAAAAAATAGTTCTGAAATCCCAGTTACCATGGTTACTGGGAAAATAGTTCAGTCATGGTGAAATACCCATAGGTTTACATGTTAAAAAATGGTTTGAGCGATTGAGGATACCGTACGTGTGCGAAGAATTGGTCAGTATTTTCATACAAGACAAGACAATTCCAAACAAGACAAAAATGGCTGAAGAAACTCTCCCAAGATTTCAACTTATCAAATGAAATTATCCATAACCATGTTCGTCTAGTTGCTGAAAATGCTTGTGATCCTGAAGGTGATACTCAATAAGTGAGGTGTCATATGAAAGCGCATGTTTTTCTCCATATTCCTCATAGGGCCGGCCTACCCTCAAAATTGTAAAAATATCTTGCTTAGACTACAATCTAGATCTAGTACTCTCAAAGGGAGTCGGGCTAACTCGGACCAGGGGACAACTCGGCCCAGGTACAAAAACGGTCAGTGTTTGCATGTTTAGGTTTAGGGTAAGGTTTAGGGTTAGGGTTAGGGTTAGAGTTAGGGTAAAATGACAAAAAATGACCGTTTTTGCAGCTGGGCTGAGTTGTCCCCTGGTCCGAGTTAGCCCGGATCCTCTCAAAGACACACTCATAAAAAACAACCGTGCAGATAAACTAGAGAAAGGCCAAGGTGGTGTCATAAGTTGACTTTTTTTTTTGGCATATAAAAGTATTAATGACTGCTTTAATATTCGAGAAATGAGTTGTTTTTATACGCTCAAGGGAAGATTACAATTGGGCTATTGCCGTCGGCACGCCTCGGGCAATAGCACAATTGTAACCTTCCCTTGAGCGTATAAAACGCCTCGGGCAATAGCACAATTGTAACCTTCCCTTGAGCGTATAAAACGCCTCGGGTAATAGCACAATTGTAACCTTCCCTTGAGCGTATAAGAACAACTATTTCTCTCAAAGCAGTCATTAATACTATACTATTGAACGAAACAGTCAAACAGACATACACACACACACACGCATACAAATACAGACAACACACACGGCTACGATTGTCTCATAATTTCCCCTTTTCTGATTAAGCATGATTTTTATCAAGATCCCTGATTGTTTAAGTGGCATTTCCCTGACAATTTTTCCCTTTAGTACACATTCACTACCACCATCATATCATGATCATTGTCATCATCTTAATCTTCACTATCATCATAATCATCATTATTATCATCATCATCATCAACATCATCATCATCATCATCATGAATCCAATGCGCTATCTCAATACGTAGGTACAATCGTTGGTTTTTGTTGGTTAAAAATTACAATTTACAATGGATATATGTGCTTTTGTTGCACTTGCCTACAAAAGGGTTTGCCTGATTTGGCAGCAGACACTTGAGCCTCTGTTCAGTAGCAAAAGTACATACATTATGGTTCGTCCTCAGTTTACACCACAGCATAGGTCATTTTTGGCCACCGAGTATGCAAGAACTCAGAGTGTAGCAG